GGGTAAATATGTAGGGGTGAGGTTCTATTAGAAAACATCTTTTTTTTAATGGCTGCATGGTACTTCTGGACTTGAATGTATATGAATATATAATCATTTATTCATTTAATCAACAAATGTTGGATGCTAACACTGTATTAGCAGGCAATGAGAACATTGTGACTATAGTGTTGGGCCCAATCCCCACAGATTTTGTATTTAATCAAATCTGTATTAGTAGATATTTAAGTTATTTCCAATTTCTTTTTCAGAACAATGAGTTTTGAAATTTCAGTTCAGTCATTACTGATCATTGGCTATCTGCCCAAAATTTCCCTGTGGGTTTTCAAGGGAAAAAGACAAGCAACTAGACAGCACTCATAGTTGGAGGGTCACGGAACTATAACCACAGGACGGCTCAGAGTTGGGTGGCGGGGTGGACGGACAGACTCCAGCCCCGGGCAGCTGCTGCAGGTTAATTCTAGGCTAAGGTGGAGAACCTGGGATCACCCTTCATATTCCTGGGCCAGTGGTGTTCAAACTTTAGCCAACAGCAGGACCACCTAGAGGGCTTATTAAACACAGATTCCTAAACCCCACTTCTGACTCAGCAGATCTGGGAACCAATAATTTGTATTTTTAACAAGTTCCCAGGTGAATTGATACTGCTGGTCCTAGGAACATACTTTGAGAACTGCCCTAAGCTATTTCTGGGAGTCTCTGAGCCTGAATTTCTTAAACTTAGACTCTCCTTCATCAGCAGTTAGGAAGATCTATAGGTAGTTATCTTTGAAGGTATTGAAGTTATTGATGCAGAAGAAAGTTCTGTGGGCCTGGAAGTTCCTTTGTAGGATCACATGACAACCCCACTTGTTCTTCTTGCGCTACTATCTTTAAGTAGGTTCTTCCCTGAGTTGCACTGGTTGGTAGAGAAACTTGTCCTCTGGCGCTCTCAGCACTACCGGGGGCAGGGAGGGATGTCACACTTGAAGGATTCTTCTGGAGCAGTGTCTTAATATTAAACACAAACAGTTTGTTTACTGGGTTAGAGGCGACTGGGTTTCTAGCTGCAGGAGTCTTGTGAAAGCTGCAGGGCATTCACCTGAGACTGCTGAAGGACTGGGAGAAGACTGCGGGTGAGTGTGAAGCTAACCCCAGAGAAGTTTTTTTGGTTTCCTTCCCTTAGCTACTCTGGTGGACAGGTTCAAATAAGGGATCTGTGGTCCATTCCCTTCCACAGCAGGTTTGAATCCAGTTTTACCATTCAATGTCTCCATTAATAACAGTCCTGGGAAATTTCCTAACTGTAAAGTGAGAACAAAGCTCTTTCCTCAGGGTGACTGCGAGGATATGTAAAGTACCTCATTAATGCAGTGCTTAACACAAATAGGTCAGTCTTTTTAAAAATAATTATATTTTTATTTTATTTTTAGAGAGGAAGGGAGGGAGAGAGAGATTTGTTGTTCCACTTTTTTATGCATTCATTGGTTGATTCTTGCATGTGCCCTGCCTGACTGACTGGGGATCAAACCCACAACCTTGGATATTTTAATCAACTCAACTACTGGGCCAGGGCAGTAGGCCCCTCTTTATCCCATGGGGCATGGGCCAATAGTGAGGTGGTGGTACATCATGCTGTGGGACCTTCAGTGAACTCATCACAAAGTATGCCTGGTTCTTTTTGTAGATAGGATACTGGCATTACTACCTCTGGAAAATGAAGCTCGCTAGCTCTGGGGGCCTGCTGTCAAGCCACTCACAAACATACATATTCTCTGAGGGGGATGTAACATTGTAACCTGTATTGAATAATAGCTGACAGTATAATAGCCACACCACACTAGCATGTTAAGACTTTCTAGGATCTAGGGCACAGGTGGTAAACACAAGGCCTGTGGGCCGAATCTGGCCCTCTATCTTGTTTTATCTGGTCTGGCACCTTGTTTCTATCCAGCAGCAGCGCCAAGCTCCTTGCCCCTACTTAAGGAGTAGTTACATTTATACAGTCCTAAAATTACTTTCAGCCCTTTGAAAGCAACCATGAGGCTGATGTGGCCCCAGGTGAAAATGAGTTTGACACCCCTGATCTAGGGGGACTATTCACAGATGGGACTTTTAGAAGTGGAAGAATAGGACTGAGTTGTTTTAATCATTCATTTTACTGATTATCCTGGGAGGTTAAGTTAAGGTCAGAGAACATTGTAATATATAGAGTTCCTAACTCTAAGTTGGCCTCGTTTTCAGCTATTCCACCCTTTCTGAAACTTGCCCGTTGCTCTATCCATAAAGCACTCGCTCTGTCTCCCTTGCTGTTTATGTGTACAAAATGAGCAGCACAGTTCTGTAGCTCCAAGTACTTATTTAGAGAAGGATTTTGGGTGAGTAGGAATTTAAAGTCAATTGCAAAGAGTGAAGGTACAGGTTGGCATACAAAGCACTGGATTCCATTTTCACCTTCTTGCTTTTATATGTCATTCCCAGATGCTCTAAATGGTTACTACTACTTATAGGTTCACTATAAACATTATTCCAACAACCTAGTTTTAGCTGGTTGGCATTTTAGTACCTATGTTAATATTTCAATTTTAATAGTTGGGAATCTTTTCCTTGTTGTTTTAGGTGATGTGGACTCTGACCAGTGGGGTTCCTGTGTTGTGGATGCAATGAACAAATTCACACGGACTACAGAAGTCCTGTGGAGAAAAAGGGATGGCACAGCCACTGTCTGAGTGAGAGGGCACCCCAACCCCTGCCTGGACAGGCTTTTATTGCTCTTCTGGGCACAGTACATTGAAGATGGTCCTCACTTACTATGCACAGTTTCGCTTTAGGTGATTACCTTTTATAGATAACAAAGGAAAGGATGTTGCTGATTAAAGAAAAGGATATTGCAAATATCCTTTTCCAAGGGAAAACGTGGTTGAACTGGTTACCCTCCATCCTTGGAAGGTTTAGCACAGACTTTAGGAAGTTATTTTAAAGATATGCAGTAAACATTTGCTGCCTTAATTTAGGATGAGGGAGTGTTAGCAAGAAGCAAGCCTCAAAGCAGCCTAGGTATAATGCAGGCCTAGTCCACCACGGGTGTGGGACTGGTTCCTGTGTGCCGCCTTGCTCCCACCAGTTTTCTGAATCAGGGGCTGGACTACATTCACCATGTTACTCGGATAGGTTCCCTACACTTTAGGTATATCTTAGCCAAGAAAAATAATTTTCCCCCTATGTCAGAGACTTACTCAAAGAACAAATAATCAGAAGTTTACTTTTTAAAAAGTCTATGAAATATGAATTTTAGATACAACATATTTGTTTTACAAAGGAAGGTTTCTTTTTTTTCTTTCTTAAAAATAAACAGACTTTGCTTACAAAAAAAGCACAAAAACCAAACTGCACTAGCAGAAGAAATGGTAAATAATTTCAGAATGGTCTACACAGAGTGCGCTCTACCCTGCTGCCTTGAGTTCGTGCTAGTTTGTGGGGAGATGTCAGGCCCACCAAGGACACGATCTCTGTTATAGGACAGCTCGACTCCATCTCTCTTATCCCCCCGTTCTCCATACAAAGAAAGATCACTGGTGGTGGTTCTCCTGTATTCCCATAGCAAAGGAGGGATTTTTCTTATTGAAATTACATTAGAATCAGTGGTGGGTTTCTCTAGAATGAGAATTGGATAAGTTGTTGAGAGTTTGCCTGAAAAGTCGATGGCCATTTTATTTCATAGGTCCAAAAATTGGCTGACCACCAAAAGACATTTGAAATACAATCTGCCACAGGTTGGGAAAAGGTTATTTGTAAAATTCTGATTTACACAAATTCTTGCAAGTGTGATTTAGCCACACGTGTTCCTGGGGTTCCTAAACTTCCGCTGCATTGACAAGTGTGGAACCTGCACAGACACCCCACTTACAGCCCAAACATAACTGGGGGGTCTGCCACTGTATTCGCTCTGCTTTTGTATATGTTTGAAATTTGTCATAATAAAAGATTAAAAACCTTCAAACATAAACTTTAAAATTCCCCAAACGATCAACCTAAGGCAAAATTGAGAGGCAATTTAAGAACCCCTAATAAGAAGTAAAAAACTTGAATTTTGAATTGCATCTATAATACAGATAGCAAACCAGTTATCCAAATGTTGAAAACATCTGAAATAATGGACCTATTTTGAAACCTTGGAAATCTCATATCATTGTACTGTTGTTCATAATTAAGAATGTCTTTCAAATGCCTGTAACATTTTTTAAAAATCCAGCAATTAATATAAAAAGGAAAAATTAAATTCCTTTTAAGTTCTTTTCAATATATTTATCTCTTTAAGATGTAGCTTAATACAGTTATTAGAATTCTTAATAAGTTTATTAAATTCAGAGTTAAAACATTTACTCTTTAGATATCTACAGTCAACTAATAAATTTTCTACATCCCTTCATATCTTCCATAAACAAAATATTTTAAAAACCTACAATGACATGATCTAAAAAGGAGCAATAATTATAGCAGACAGAATACTAAATGAAATATGATACACCTTCTGCTCTGTACCTATGTGTTTTACAGAGTAATCATCACAACAGATGTCCTTAGAGAACAAAGGAGAACGGGAAAGTTTACCAGAGGAGGAAGGCATGGAAGGTATTTTCTGTTATCTTCCACTGTGTGGTCTTTTACTGCACTGTTCTTTAAACAAAAAAAGGTCTCCGCAAGGGCAAATCCTGTTTCAAATGTCCGCTTCCCTGACTAGAGAATAATGTGTTTGTGTAGTGTATGATTACACCCGACAAGGCTGTGAACACATGTGATTTACTCAATGATCCTATTCTGCTTCCTTTTAAAGATAAAGAATGCATTTAAGTCGATTCTGCATGAGACTGTAATAATTCCTTAGAAGGCTCCATTTAAACAGACATTTTACCTTATTTTAAAACATTAAGAGAAAAGCCATTTCCTTGGTCTTCATTTTCTTTCCAGACGGTATCAATTAATACTTTCATTTATTTCAAAAGACAAAACTATGACACAAATACTTTCAAATCTTTTTCATTTTTCTTTGTATAAGCAAAATATCCCCATAAAAGATTCACTTTAAAACATTTTTATATACAAATAACTGTGTAAGTAGGAAGAAACAACTAAAAACAACACAACCACCAACACAGCAGCCCCTGACGGCAGGCCAGGTCAGGGTACAGATCTGGTGAAAACAAGCTGCTCACATTCCCAGAACCACGATCCCCCAGGAGGAATCTTGTCCTCGTCAACTTGCTGGGTGGCAGAGCCCAGAGGAATCACTCAAATGATGAAAGTCTCAAAGCATGGTCACCTAGGGGGAAATGAAGAGACAGATATGATGCCTCGAGCATAATCATTTTCTTGTAATAACAGTAAAGAAAACAACCTTAAATGGTAACAGTTACATTAGCTCTGACTTCAACAGGTAGCTGTGTATGTACTTACCAACGGTAGCATTTGTAGGCCAAGGGGGAAAGCACAATGTATGCTTGCCATTTGTCTGGAAAATAATATTCTCTAAAACACTCATCTTTATTGATTATAGATACATGTATGTGGTATTTAAAATAATAAAACAGAGCAAACATTTCAGGGCTTACTGTGGACCAGATATACTGTTCTAGGTACTTCATCTGGTTTCCTTCTTTCTTTTTTTTTTTTGGGGGGGGGGTTTCTTTCTCTTAAAACCAGGTACCTTGTCTCCAGAAGCCTTGCTTTTAACTGAGCTTCAGTTTTGTAATGTAAAGTTGGATTTTTAATTCCATAATCACACAAAATGATTCTTCTTTTTTTAAAAATATATTTTATTAATTATGCCATTACAGTTGTTCTATTCCCCCCTTCATTCCCCTCCATCCTGCACACCCCCTCCCCCACCATTCCCCCCTTTAGTTTATGTCCACGTGTCTCGAGTTCTTTAGATTCTATATTTCCCATACTATTCTTGCCCTCCCCCCTATCTATTTTCTACCTACCGTCTATGCTACTTTTTTCTGTACATTCTCCCCCCTTTTCCTTCTCCCACTCCCCTGTTGCTAACCCTCCATGTGATCTTCATTTCTATGGTTCTGCTCCTGATCTAGCTGTCCTCTTAGTTTGCTTTTGTTTTAGGTGTGGTTCTTAATAACTGAGTTGGCTGTCCTTTCACTGTTCATCTTTTTTATCTTCTTTTTCTTAAGTAAGTCCCTTTAACATTTCATTATAATAAGGGCTTGGTGATGATGAACTCCTTGAATTTGATCTTATCTGAGAAGCACTTTATCTGTCCTTCCATTCTAAATGAAAGTTTTGCTGGATAGAGCAATCTTGGTTGTAGGTCTTTGGATTTCATGACTTGGAATACTTCTTTCCAGCACCTTCTTGCCTGTAAGGTGTCTTGTTAGAAATCTGCTGACAGTCTGATGGGAACTCCTTTGTAGGTGACTGTCCCCTTATCTCTTGCTGCTTCTAGGATTCTCTCCTTCATTTTAATCTTGGCTAATGTAATGATGATGTGCCTTGGTGTGTTTCTTCTTGGGCCCACCTTCTTTGGGACTCTCTGAGATTCCTGGATTTCCTGGAAGTCTATTTCCTTTGCCAGATTGGGGAAATTCTCCTTCACTATTTGTTCAAATAAGTTTTCCACTGGTGGCTGTGCCTTTCCCCCTTCTGGTACCCCTATAATTTGGATGTTGGAGCATTTAAAGATGTCCTGGAGGTTCCTAAGTCTCTTCTCATTTTTTGAATTCTTGTTTCTTCATATTTTCCTGTTTGGCCATTATTTTCTTCCTTCTGGTTCACTCCCTTGATTTGAGTGCCAGTTTCCTCTTCATCACCATTGGTTTCCTGTGCAGGTCCCTTCATTTCAATTAGTTTAGCCTTCATATGTTCCTTTAATTTGTGACTAAAATCAACCAGTTCTGTGAGCATCCTGATGACCAGTGTTTTGAACTGTGCATCTGAAAGTTTTGTTATTTCTTCATCTCTTAGATTTATGGGCTCTGGGGCTTTGAGATCTTCTTGAGCCATTTTTGGTCTGTTCACGCCCGTTAATTATGAGGAGCGGAGACTTCGTTGTTTACCAGGGCAGGGCCGCTCAGGTCGCTGAGTTGCGACGCTGTATGTGGGGGCAGGGTCAGAGCAGGGAAATGGCGGCCCCCTCTGCTGCCTCTCGCAGCTGGGGCCTGCTCGGTCCTGTTGTCTCACCGCCCACTCTCTCGTTGGTCTATCTGCGCATGAAGGCGGGACCACAACCAGCCGCCCTGCACTCTCGCTGGGTAGCTAGTCACTCACTGGGTCTGCCCGTTGCAACCCCATGCCTGGGATCCGCAAGCCTGAGTCCGTCTGACCTTGTTTTCCTGTACAACCACGCTCCGCCAGCTGCTGGCTTCGCCCCTCTTACCGGTCAGGCTGAAGAATTTGTTGTTATCAGACTTCCTAAAAGTTCAGTTTTCTGTGTTCTGGCTGTGTTTTCTGTTGCTAATATTTTGTTGTCTCTCAGCTTGGTTGTGGGAGAAAGCACTGCGTCTCCACCTATGCCTCCATCTTGGCGGAAGTCCAGTTCTTCTAATACTGTAAATTCTATTTCTTCTCTGTGAACTTCCACCTCTCTGATTCACTGTTCACCTTCTGCCTCCCCATTTACCTTCTGGTTTTACCTGCTTCCCAGTACAAACTGGACCCCTAGTCATTTCAATTATGCCCCAAACTCCTGCCCAGGCTTCTCCTGCTGAAATCAAATGAGGTGGTTCGCCTGCATCAGCAATCTGTTACTGCTACTGCTTCCCAGCAGTGAAACATTACTGCTGATTTAATCCAAGAAATACTCGTGCTGCCTGTTGTTAAGCAGCCTTCACTACTGCTCAGCAATCCCTTCACTGACACGCTGCAGCGTCCATAACAGCTGCTCCAAACTTCCAGGATTAAACTCCCAAATGCCCCCATCTACCCCTTTGTTAATTATCTTACCATGGGTTTATGTAAAATCCACCCAAAATAGGATTGCCAGAAAAAATACAGGATGCCCAATTAAATGTGTATTTCAAATAAATAAGAAATCATATTTTAATATATGTTCCAAATACTGCATTATAGAAATATTTAAATGGAATTAAAAATAATAAATAGCAAACTATATACTGGGAGCCTATCAAATATTGTATAAAGCATACTTAGTACTAAAAACTTATTGTTTACCCAAAATTCCAATTTTACTGGGCATCTTGTATTTTAATCTACTAAATCTAATTCAGTCAAATTCCCTTCTCTCCATTTTCAGAATGGGAAACTAGGACAGTGGGCTTCTTTAGAGGCTTGTGTATAGATTTACCAAGTCCACATGAGTGGTTTGTCAGTAAAACGCAGTTGCCTAAGAATCAGAAGTTGGGCTGGCAGCCATTTATCATTTCTAGCAAAGAAACACATTCTTGAAAATAAGCTTGTAATAGCAAATACAGTGAAATATAAAGAAATCCACTCTGAGAGATAGATTTATTATTATTATTTTTAAAGATTTCAGTTATTTATTTTTAGACAGAGGGGAAAGGTAGAAGAAAGATAGGGAAATATCAGTATGTGGTTGCCTCTCATGTGCCCTCCACTGGGGACCTGGCCTGCAACCCAGGCATGTGCTCCTACTGAGAACCGAACAGGCACCCCCCCTCCCTTCACAGGCCAGTGCTCAATCCACTGAGCCACACCAGCCAGACCAGTAGATTTATTTTGAGCTCCATTTTCTTGCTTCTGCCCTGTCACCTTAATGTGTTCCACAAATTTGTACAAGTTGACATTTAAGTTCTATATATATTTAATTCCTCTATATTATGGATAAAAAATATTTTAAGAGATACAATATCATGGTGCCCAATACCAAATATAAAAACTAAGAATTCTTTTTGCTACATTTTTTAGACTTTTAATCTACCAATCAGTAAAGCTATAATAAGAACACTGTACCTAATAACTGATTTTTCCGCATTAACTGTTCATAGACTGCAAAAAAAATCTAAGAACATTTGACACATTTAAAAAAACTTAAAATGCAAAATAAAAATCCTAATTATAAGAAATGCATATGTTATTACTGAGAGCTTTAAAGGATTTAATTTCTATAGCTACCTTGCCCTAAAAAGCATTTGTTTGCCTGTCAATCTGTGAGGTTGGGTTGAGCAGCTTTTTGCCACACACAGTGCTTTCTTGTACTAATTAGCAGCAAGCATTGTGGCAAAGACTAATGTCCACATGAAAAGCACTGCAAATTCACTTTAAATCTTATTGTAAATGTGCAATCATTCTCTGTATGAGTTGTAAAATAAATTTTGTTATTTTGAATTAAATTAAATGCTGAATAATGTAGTGTTTTAAAGCTTATATTATTCTTCCTGATATTACTCAAAAGAGGATAAACTACCATACTAATGTCTTTAAAACTTAATGTATTTGGCAAGCAATATAGAAAAATAGAAAGAATACTTTGCAAGGAGCTAGGTGACCAGGATCTCACTTACACTGTGGGGTCATAGGCAAATCATTTATTCTAAATCTCAATTTCCTCATCATAAAAACTAAAGACATAAAGTCCCAGTGATTCCTGTAAGGAAGACTGCATTGGAATTGCCTGTAGATATTTTGATTTGGTAGATGTGAAAAGGGAGGGCCTTAGGAAGTATTTATAACACTTCATAAAGTGATTCTGTTGCGTATTACTGGACAAGAACCAATGGTCTAAATAATTTCCTGGCCCTTTTGCAATTCTAAAAGCCTACTTTTTACATCCAATCAATAGACTACCTTTCGTCGTTTTTCTCTTCTTGTTAATGAATAAATGTGTTTTAGGAAATAAACAAGCTGTTTCTAAATAATGACTGAGTGCTTACCAGCTCTAAGGTATTATTAACTCATAACATAAGTAGTTCAATCCTCACAACACTGTGAGGCAGGTACCAGTCTTATCATCTGTATGTTACAGATGGAAAAACTGAGGCTCACAAAGTAATTTGCCCAAAGTCACAGAGCAGGTAAGAGTTGTGCCTGTAGCGGTGGCTCAACTCTTAACCAGTATGCTACACTGCCAAACACTACCCACAACTGTTCCCCATCCAAATAGCGCTGCTTTCCCTGCTACTTTAGGGGATAAAAGGATGTTTTGTAGAAATTTTGTGTCATCAGATGAGGGAAGGTAGAAGCTGGGTAAGGCAAGAGTGAAAGGGAGCTGGGCCTGAGGCCCCCGGCCCTGAGCTACAATAACTAGAGACCGCTAAGATTCGCAAAAGCCTCTCTGAAAAGGGTAAATATCCCTAGGAGTGATTTTCCTTCAATGGTCATTTCATTCCA